TTCAATGGAGCTTGTTGCATACTCCCCTCTACTCCTTCTACTTTTTTACTACACTATCACCACTAATATTACTGTCACTGGTCTTATTTTTTTTAATGCTACTTACCCACCTTTTTTCTTTTGATGTGTTAATTCTCCCTTCTTCTTCACTATTTTGCTGGTTTTTCTGTATGTAAATCACTCTTCCCACCCTTTTTCTTTTTTTCTTTTTTCCGTTTTTTTTTTTTTCTTTTGTCGCGTTGATTGTCAGCAGTATTTGTGTGATTGTGTACCAGGCAATTTGTTGGAAGTGCAGTGGCAATATATTTTTTTTTTGCTTACTGTACAAAAAAGGAAAAATGAACTTAATAAAAAGAAAAAAGTTTTATGGTTACATTTTGTCAACAATAGGGATGCTCAAAGTTTAAAAAAAGAAGTTAAAAATTTTTTCAAACAAAGTCTGTATTTTGTTATTGCTTTTTTTTTTTTTTTTTTTTTTAAAAAAAACAAAAAACCGGTTTGCTTTTTTTTAAAAATGAAAAGAAAAAAAAAGCAGAAGAAAAAAGCAACTGCATACACAATTATTCAAAACCTATCAAATGGCAACAACAAGAAAACCAAAAGAATGTCTTGACCATATACCACAGACAATGAGTATCAGGCAATGCTCAACTGGGTTGAGGTTCCAAAGAACTTTCAGTTTGTTGTTGGGATTGAATTGACAGTCACAAAACAGAGTGATTTTGTTGCCATGGCAGCACATATAAATCACACCGTAAAAGTGGATTGGCTCCCTCAAATGGCTAGATCCTGTTATCAGTCTTGGATTCTCAGGTTAGTACTATTAGTCAATGTATACTTTATTGATAATTTGAAATAGTTACAAGCAAACAAAGAAAAAGATGGCTGCAACTGGATTTGGTCTAACAGAAGTCATGCAAATCAATGTGAAATTGAAATTGCTGTGTGCTTACTTTCATAGGCTCAATATTCTATACAGTTGACAGGTTAATGTTGACCCTCCTCATTTGGAAGAAAGTGGACTTGATGAGGAAAAAGCTGAAAGTGAAAAAAACAGTGAATGCAAAGACAATAAAGGCAATGAAGATGATGAAAATAATGAAGAAGAAGAAGAAGAAGAAGAAGAAGAAGAAGAAGAAGAAGAAGAAGAAGACGAAGATGAAGAAGAAGAAGATGGCAGGAGTTTTGAGGAAGACAAAGATATTTTCACTGGAAATTTGGTCAGTGAAAATGAGCAGTTTGATAAAAAAAAAGATGCTCAGTTGCTTGCACATTTTGAAACAATAGAAGACAAGTTTGGTGTTACTACAAGGTATGCATTGTTTATGTAAATTCATTGGTCTTATGGTGTTCGTCAGTTTTTTGAATTTAAGGCCCAAAATTAATTTAAAAAAAGGCAAGCATCCAATGATTGATTTCTACAAAATCTTCAGTTTTTGCAGCTATCAGTCTTAACCCCATCAAGGAAGTCCATCTCCTTTTTAAAATTCCAATCACATGCTCAATTTTAACTTTAGATGAAGAAAAACACTCATTAAAATTCTTGTTTTCAAGATTTTAAGTACCGCAACTATAAGAGTTATTCACATATCACTCAAAACATAACCAGAATCACCTAACAGGTACTGCCCACAGTGAAGGTACTTCTGAGATTCTCTGAAAATTTTGCTGCTGTTGAAAACTGTTGAGTCATGCATATTGCGACAATTGTTCCAAATGAAAAATGTGTGATGAAAAGTTTTGCAAAAAAAGATTCATCGCAAATGTTGCAACAGATTGTTTTGCACAGTCAAGCTGATGAAAGAACCTGAATTCATTGTTTATATGGATACTTTTATCAGGAAATAAGTATGACGAAGCTTGCAACCATCTATGGTAAGTCTGTACCTACCATTCACAGGTGGGTTTCTCAGTACAGAAATGGTGGAGGAGTTTCAAGAGCAACCTGCAAGCGAAAAAGGATGTTCAAAGACATGCATCAAATCTGGATTGTCAACTTTTATTGTTCCTGGCCAACAGCATTCTTGGAAGAGTGCCAAGAACAATTCACAATACATTTTGCAATGCCAATCACAAACTCGACTGTTTGGCAAATTTTACACAAAGCTGGATATACATACAAAGTGCTGGAAAGGCGTGCACTACAAATACAGATAAACAATGTGGTTTGATATGCAACAGAATTAAACTCAATTGAATGGTGCAAATTGAATCTCATGTTTCTCGACGAAGTATTGTTTGATAATCGCAGAATGTTGGGAAACTGAGTCTTCACGGCAAGAAGCTAGTTTATTGTGGTGAGTTTATTTGAAAGCCAAGAGTTTCGTATCTTGCTTTTCTTTCAGTTTGTCAGGTTGTTGATTATTTTGAAACAGAAGGAACATTCAATCGCAATTTATTTCTGCGTTGCTGTATACAGTTGGCTGAATACAACAGCAAAATCAGGCAGTATCCTGGAAATTGCTCAATATGGATAATGGATGGAGCTAAAATACACACAGATTTGAACCTTGTCCACACTTTTCGCTCATTTGGAATTATTGTTATTTTTCCACCAGCGTACTGTCTGCTCCTCAATCCAATCGAATACTTTTTTTGGAATAATCAAGCAGAAATTCAAAAAGCATTCTGAAGAGGGAAAGAAGCAATCCCGGTCTATGTTTGTGACAAAAATAATGAGTTTTTTTTTAAACTACAACTTCAACAAAATTTTCAACCACTGCGGTTATAAAGTCGCCAGTGTTTCGATGCAGGATCAGGAAAATTTGGTGATGAAGAGCAAGAGATTATGGGATTTTATTCTAATCAAGAGTGAATGAAAAATAAAGTCAAATTAAAATAATTTTTATTCTTCATGATCAACATCATTTTGCTGTTGTATTTGTGACTGAAAAGTGTCTCCTAAATTTGTAATGGGTCCAGATGTTTGTTGAATTTCTGGTATAATATTTGAATAAGTCTTGATTGCCACTTCCATGGATTCAATCCAAGCAAGCAAAGTCCGAGCATCCTGCTTGAGAAGGTTTACCTATACACCCAGGTCTGGAAAAATATTCTGTGAAATATGCATTTCATTATTGATATTTGCAAAGATGGGATTGACTTAAAGAGGTGGGTTATGTATGGTGGTGGATAGCCATTAATTAAATTTCAATGATTTGGAGTTGGCTCAGAAACAATGTAGGATGCCCAAATTTGCCAGTTTGCCCCTACACTTGTGAATCTGTTACTTTGCACTTCCAGTAGCTGGTCCAGGATTGTTTCAATAATAGAATTAGCAGCAGCACCATATCTGTTGCGCTGAGCCGGCAACAAAACTGTTTGTTCAAATCAGTTCCAATGATGTTTTGATGATAAGGATGTAGAATACTTCAAAACTGTAACTGGAATTGGAGTAGTAGATGTAGCCAAAGAATGCAGGGATGTTTAACTTAGCTTGGAGAATTTCATGACTTGATTGTTTTGCTTAAATGACATATAATCATCCATATTCTCAATTGTCAGTGTAGAGTTGCTGCTGGAGTATACATTACCATCAATAGTAGCTACAGGCTGTATATGGGATTGAAAAGCGGCCCAAATAGCGGTTTTGAAGTCCTGAATACTGTGGCATGAGAGGCAAACGTCTGTGACTTAATTTGTTGTTGATCTCGCTTGCTGCCCAATGTAGTCCTGATTATTGATGTCAGTCTGATGGCATGAAGCATCTCTTCAGTATCTTGAGACTCAGATTGTTCATCTGATTGTATTTGATTGCTCATTATGATGATTCAAAGCAAAAAAGAAAAGAATTGCATTTTTTTCATTTCAACTTGAGAGGGCAAAAATGCCTAAAACATCCAAAACAATCAGACAGACCTTTGTGCCTGTACTGGTTAGACTCTTTGCAGTTGTTTTATGGATGTGGTCTTTGTGCCATAGAGGGTCACTTCTTTGAGAAGTTTCAGCAATCCAACACAGTCAGCCAGGTCTTTGTGTCTGCACTGGTTAGACTTTTTGTGGTTGTTTTGGATGGATATATGCTTCTCTATGGATAGCTTTTTGGATTAAAATGGGAGTAGAACTACTTGATAAGTTTGTTTAAAGACTTTTCTTCAAACTAGGACTCTGACTGTCTACCTCCAATGTGACTCTCATGCATGAACTCTCTATTTATGTTTTGTTTACAAACTGGACTGTCTCAACAAAACCCAACTGCTGTTAAACTGATGGATCTGACTACAGAGGCTCTGTCACAGAGGTACCTACTTGGCTAGAATGACTTTGGATATGTACTATTTGAACAGGAAAATGTCTGTTGTGGAAGGCAAATATTTCTTAAGGGGTGTGGATCTGGGTTCAGTTGGAATGAAAAATGTAAAACAATAAAAGAAAAACAGAAAGTTTTTCAGGCATACAAAAAAACGTAATTTTTATTTATTTGTTTATTTAGCTATAATTTTATTTATTTACTTTATGTAGTAATAAAAATAATTCAGCCAGATTTTTGAACCATTTTATATTAATACATGTAAGATCCATGATGGAAAAATGTGAATAATAGTAAAGTAGTAGTAGTAGAAGTAGTAGAAGTAGTAGAAGTAGTAGTAGTAGAAGTATTCAGAAGAGAGAGGTTTGTATAGCCAGTGCTACCAAATGTTACGGAATGAGCCCGTAGTTAGTGGATTTAAGAGCCAAAGAATTAAGTTTCAGAAGATTTCTTTTTTTTATTTGCATTCATAGTTCATGTTTTTATAGTTTTTGATTTGAAAAAGAAAGAAGGAAGTTTCCAGAAAAAGAAAATTAAAAAGAAAACTGAAGAAGTAAGAAAGTAACAATAAAAGTGAAATAAAGTATAAGAATTGATAAAGTCATAGAAAAAATATAGAAGAATAAGATGTCACTTGAAGTAGGTCTTGATTGTTTTTGGTTATTGAGTTATTGAGTTTCTTGTAGAATTTTTCAGCAGCTGAAAAAAATGTGAATAAGATTAAAAATAATTATTAAGTTCAAATGGACACGGATCGATAGCTCAGTGGTAGAGCGTGGGACTGCAAATCCTGAGGTCGTGGGATCAACCCCCACTCGGTCCTTGCCTTTTCGGAAAATTTTCTTTTGTCCAAATTTTGCAAAATGAATTCTTCATTGGGGAATAAAAACAAAGGGACCATTGACATGGTACCATTTGAAATGAACAATTTATAAATGCCTTCAGAAAACTGTCAAAATTAAATTCCAATGGCCTTTAGTTTGAGCAGTTTCTGTGCTATCATTCTTATTTCAAATTCTCCCTAAATTTTGAAATTCTTCCCATCAGCTTTTCTTTCATTTAAACCTGAACTCAAATAAAGAATAAAGCAAAGAATAATATATAAAAAATAAGATAATATGTCATCAGTGAACAAAATTGGCAAGTCTACCCAGTTTTTGTAATTGTGTTCTCACTAAAATCTATTTATTTTATTTTACCATCTCAGCCACACAGTTTATGACTTCATCTAAATTGTTGAATCAAGAACAATGTATCAGTGCTCAATTTTCTTGCTCCTGGCGTAGGTAACTCAAAACTGAAATTTCATTTTGCATGGCTATGGCACAAAAATATACAAAAATGTGTCTAATATCAGGGGGGACTGAAAAATTTTGTTACACAGAATGTGAAACAAAATGTAAAAATGGACTGCTCAACTTCATAAACCATCACCAACACTAATTGTCCTCCACAAACCATTTGAAGCAAATTCACCAGTGTAAGATTCAACAATATATCTGAGTACACTGCATCCCAACTTTGTTCCCTCAACAAAATATTGGCAATGTGTAGATTCACATTACCAATAGCAAAAATTGCCTTTAAAATTTGAGAAATACTCATGAGCGATATTTATTTATTTATTATTTTTATTATTTTTGTTTAAAACTACAAATCTCCTACCGCAGCAACATATTTTGCTGATATGCCAACTTTTATAGCAGCTTTCGAAAATTATCCAAAAAAAAATTCAATTTTCAATTTATTGATAAACATTTTTTTCCAACCAATCACAGCAGCTTTATTTCACATTTTAACAAATCCATTCAAGAAAGATTCAGCAGCAATTGTCACGTTTATTTTTAACATCCAGAAATTTCTCAGGAGAACAAAGATTTCTGCTTCATTTGTAAAACCGCAAGTCTACTCTTTGCAAATGCATCTCCCTGCTCAGCAGCCTTGTGATACAATTCCACAGCCAATTTGACATCTTTCAACACTCCTCTCCCATTTTCATACATGAAACCCAGATTACTTTGTCCCAATTCATTTCCCTGCTCAGCAGCCTTGTGGAACCATTCCACAGCCAGTTCATCGTCTTGCCACACTCCTCTCCCATTTGAATACATGGAACCCAGATTCACCTGTCCATCTGCATTTCCCTGCTCAGCAGCCTTGCAGTACCATTCCACAGCCAGTTTGTCATCTTGCAACACTCCTTTGCCATCACGATACATGGTACCCAGATTATTTTGTCCATCTGCATTTCCCTGCTCAGCAGCCTTGCGGTACCATTCCACAGCCAGTTTGTCATCTTGCAACACTCCTCTCCCATTTTCATACATGAAACCCAGATTAACCTGTCCATATGCATTTCCCTGCTCAGCAGCTTTGCGGAACCATTCCACAGCCTGTTTGTCATCTTGCAACACTCCTTTGCCATCACAATACATGGTACCCAGACTACTTTGTCCCACTGCATCTCCTTGCTCAACAGCCTTGCGATACAATTCCACAGCCAGTTTGTCATCTT